CAAATACATTAAAAGGGAGTAACGGTATTGGTTCTAACCCAACTCTAAAGGACTTATTATTAATAATATATAATATAAAATCTATAGAAAAGAGTAATATTCATGATTCTTGAATAGAGAGAGTGACTATTTTCAAATTCTGTGCGAACACAAGGGCAACAGTTTAGTTTCATTAGTATTCACTTTTTATTTGTTGGAGTTTTGATTGAATTTGGAGTTCAAATATTTTTATAGAATATATGTGTGTCTGTGTTGATAAACTTATTACAGTTAGAAGACTACATTTTCAGACCAATTGTACATGGAAGTTTCTTTAGTTCGGACGCACTTTGGGTGTAGAAGGGGAGTCTTGGGGCTTAAATTGTTATGGGTAATATCCCTGGGCCATGTTGGGTTGCTTGTTGGGTCATGTGGGGTGATATTGGGCCACGCTTTGAGTTCTAAGGTTGATCTAAGATGACTTTGAGTCCAGATGAGTTCTCTCCGTTTGGTACAAGAGAAATGAAGGAAGAACTAATGAGAGGCTGGTCTAATAAAAAAGGCTAAGTTCTCATAATATGATGAATCAATATTCGAATCGTCACTAGGAAAGGAGCCCAACAAACTTAGTCTACTCTAATTTGACAATTAGCTCTTATATTAAGAATTGGAAGTAGTATATAATGATCATATAAGAATTTGCAGCATTTTCAAATTATAAATAGTACATGTAGTGTATTTCTTAGAGGAGATGGAATGCCATGGGAAAGCGGAGACCTCAAATATGCTCCTTATTTAGTTTACAATACAAGCAGGTTTAAAGGATTATTCATGCGGCATTGCCTTTCACATTCAGTGAGATGTGTAGAATTTAGGAAAGAAAGTTTGTGTTTGATGCAAGCACGTGAAACACATTTGAAACGAAAAATTACACGTTGATCCATATTTGTTTCTCTGTCTCAACTGCAATAAGTACAATGAACAATACCATAACAAAGTTTCTCTTCTTCCAAAATTACAAATTTTACAAGTAATAGTTTAAAATCTTCCTTTGAAAATCTATTTAAGAAAAACAAGTCCAATGCTAACATTTTACTTTTCAGACTGCTGCAAATCGCATCCAAAATATGTGATTCACACATTAGGAAAGCGAACAACATTCACAAATTCAGAGTGAAGTTGCAGTGAAACCAGAGGAGTTTGTGTTGGAACTAAATGTTGAGTTCTAGTTTTGACTAACCTCTGAAGCATTGGTGGTGGATGGAATTGAAGATGATGATCCCACTGGAGGAAGTTCATGATATGTGAGTTCTGGATAGCTTAATGGAAGACTAGGAAATGGAACTTCAAAGTTAAGCACATTCATCGCTTGCCTTATGGAAGGCCTATGCTTATGATCAGGATGAGCACACCATAGCCCAACAATCATCAAACATTTGATTTGATCATGGTCAAAATCTCCTTGGAGTCTTGGATCGACTGCTTCAAGAATTCTCCCACTTCCATATAGTTCCCATACCCAATTCACCACGTTTATTTCATTTTCTGGAGCATTGTGGTTTATGCACTTTCTTCCACTAGCTATCTCCAAAGCAACAATTCCAAAACTATACATATCGGATTCTTTGCTTGCCCTCCCAATAATAAGACATTCAGGAGCCATATAGCCCATAGTTCCTGCCAAAGCTGTGGTTGGTGAACTTTTCGTGTGGTCTACAAGTCTGGCCAAACCAAAATCTCCAAGTTTTGCATTGAAGTTAGAATCTAGCATGATATTGCTTGACTTTATGTCCCTATGTACAACACATCGTTCCCATCCTTCATGCAGGTATAACAATGCAGAGGCCAAGCCTTGAGCTATTTTGAATCTTTCCGACCATCTTAGCAAACTTTGATCCTTGAAGAGATGAAAATCTAAACTTCCATTTGGCATATACTCATAAACCAACAATAGTTCTTTCCCTTTATGACACCAACCAAGTAGTTGCACCAAATTTCGATGCCGTAGTTGACTAATAATTCTTACTTCCGAAGCAAACTCCTTCATTCCTTGTTTAGAGCCCTCTGATATTCTCTTTATGGCTATGCAGGTGTTTGAATCTTTGAGGAAACCTCTATAAACCTCCCCAAATCCTCCTTGTCCTAACTTCTGTGCATCTTCAAAATAATTTGTAGCACTTGCTAGATCAGCATATGAGTACTCCTTTGGTCCTATTCCTCTTCCAAAGCTGTCATACATTTGCTTATCAAACTCATGATCATCCTCTTCCATCTTCCTTCTCTTCTTCTTCAAGCCTACAAAAACCAAACTAAACACACAAATTAAAATAAACACTCCAACCCCTAATCCAACTCCAAGTTTTGTCCTGTTCTTTCTACTCTTCGAGCTCTGGCTCGGGTTAAAAGGTGTTTCTGAGAACTCATTTGGAGTATTCGAATCATCATTATTCGATAAGAAACTCCATGAGTTGATCTTACGTATTGCTGAAGTATTTCTAGTGGAAGCTGAGAAGCCAAAAGTAACCCATTCAGGTAGATACTTTCTCATATCGACGATCTGATAAAGATGTTGCTGCACAATAGTACCATTAACAAAGCCAGTGAAGGAAATGCTTAGATTTTGTGTATTTGTGCTGTAACTAATGAAAACCTCATTAGTTCTCCCTTCATTGATATCAGCCAACCACGTCAAGTTATTAACAGATCTCATGGAATTGATATTGACACCAACGTGTTCCTTCGGAGGATCCCAATCATTCTTAAAGATATCAAATTCCACAGCAACAAACGGATTGTCTGTTGAATTTAATGGCTGGTCATCGAGAGTCAGACCCATAGAGCCTCCTTTTGTGACATTGGGAAGCTTTGAACCAGCAGGGGCTAAGAAGAAAGCCAACCCACCTCCCCGCACTTTCGGCTTTGAACGAATCACAAAAGTGAAACGGGTTCTGAAGTCTGTGAGCTTCCCAGTGGCTCTATCCCATAAACGCATTGGTTGGTAATATGTGGCTCGACCAACACTAGCCCTCAGGGATTGGTCTTGCTGGTTTCTTGTTAACTGGATGGATGGTGGTGCTGGGTAAGATGATCCCTCGTACGATATGTTTCTATCATTTGGACTGAAACTAGAGAAGTTGAAGGATATGGAAAATGCATGAGGGATGATCAAGAGGAAGAAAATTATTGAAGATAGCATCTTCATCGTCATTACAAGAAAAACGAAAATTCTGATTTGTTTGAGAAACCTTATTCTACTAAAAGTTGGATAGGAGGTGAGATGATTATAGAGTCCAAGACATGACTAAGGAAATTATGGGTTTTTTTCCTTAGCCTACCAATGTCTACCATTCTCTGCATCCACAGGTTTTTCATTTTTTAAATATTAAGACTAATAGACTGACCATTTGCGAGAGGCCATGCATTGAATCTGAACCTGGAAGTCATAAAACGACATATACATAGCATAGGCAAGTGGACATAAACAAATGAGGTCCTTCTCGCTGTCCTTTTTGGAAAGTTCTTCGAGATTTGGGAAGACGTATAGAGTATGACAACTTGTTCTCCTCCTCATTATCATTATTATTATTATTAGGGGTGTTCAAGGCCGGCCTGTCCCGATCGGCCCGTTCCGGTCCCGGTCTTATTGCGACGGGACGGATTTGTTCCAAAATTTTTCGGGACGAGACACGAGACGGGGTCATCCATCCTAGTCTCGTCCCCATTCCTTTTTTTTTTTAATTTTTATCATATTTATATAATATCATTTTTTTTCATATTTTTTAAGATTTGAGACTATTGTATGGAACTATGGATATATTTATTTAGAGTTTTTATATTTGTTAATAATTTGAGATTATTGATGATTCAAATTTTTAGCAAATTTTTATTGTGTTAAAAGCTTTTGTTCAGAGTTTTTAATAACTATTATATATAATATTTTGAGCTTTTATTTAAGAGCGCCCAAACAAATAAATAAAAAATAAAAACGTGTTTTTATAAGGTTTAAACCCAAAAAAAAAAAATTAAGAAAAATCAGATTTATTAAAAAAATTTAAAAAATAAAAAAAATTTGGGACGTCCCGGTCCCGTCCCAGATCTGTCCCGTCCCGGTCCGGGACGGGCCGGGATGTAATGTCCTATTATAAAAAAAATAGATAAGAGTCAACTTTCCACCAACTTTGGGTGGAAAGTTGAAACTTGAGGGTTGAAAATTTGGAAGAGAGTAGAAAATGGGCAAACGTGTGGAAAAAATTGGCATGAAGGAAGACTTTGGGAGAGAGAAGGAAGACTTAGGGGAAGGAGAGTTAATACAAGGAGGAAAATTTTGCAACAGGTGGTTAGAATTGTAGAATAAAAGAGAGTAGGAGGCAGAAGGCGAGAGTGCATGAGAGAAGGAGAGAAGGAGAGAAAGAGAGAGAATTAGAGAAAGAGAAAACGAAAAAGGCGCAGAGAAGTTCTGGCATTTTGAAGGATAATACAAGCTTTAGGAATCATCTAGATACACGAATATAATTCTTTTTATCAAACTTTCTTTATGAATATTTCTTGTATATTTCGAGCTTATTATTTTAAATAATTAGCCTGCGTATTTGTTAACTTTTGTGGATTTAGACTAAATAAACCTAACAAAAAAAAGGTAAACCTTCACTGGGTAACACAAAAAATGCCTTATAAGGAAAATATAATAGCAGCGAGGGATTTTGACCAGTATATGAAATTTCGCAGTATTTACCGAGCAAGTAACCTGTATTTTAGTTTTGGGTGGATCGTCTTGCCCACCAATAGAAAGGAGAGGACTTAAGCTTTTTCTTGCGTGTTTATTAGTAAGGTCTTTAACAAAAATACCTTGAGAGAGCTTTTTGAAAAACCCAGTCATATTATGTTGGAGTCTAAATATCTAGTTGTCATGTTTTAATTGACAAACCTAATATTGAACAGGATAAAAATGTGCCTAGGCTTTGTTGTAAATGAAAATAACTGATGTAAGATGTTCTTGTGGATCATGACACGTGTGCTGAAACCAGGTTGGCATCAATGTTCCCATTCCAGTTCCATTGCCCTTTTTCTCATTTACTGGCAACAAGGCATCATTTGCAGGAGATCTCAATTTCTATGGTAAACAGTTTGCCTCCAATCCAAAGCTTCCTCATCCCCACTTCATTTCTTTTCAACTTAAGTTTTATTAGTTACATATTGCTTATGATACAGACAACATCATTGAGTTTGTCTTTCGTGGTTTGAATGAACTACAGGGAAGGCTGGGGTTAACTTTTATACTCAGATTAAGACAGTGACTCAGCAATGGAAGGATTCTGCTGGTGGTAGCAGAATTAACTTGGCAATGCCGACCTCTCAAAAATCTTGATGAAACACTGTATAGTAGTTAAATTTGGATCCCTAGAAGCATTTCATATTTTAGAGGGTGAAATAGAGGAAGATAAAATAGGAGAGTGACCTTCACTTCTGTTGGACATATATAAGCACAGGTGAAATCTACTTTTCCTTCTCCCTCTCTCTGCTTTAGGAGGTGAAGTTTTTCAGAAGATCCAAATTTATTATGACAGTTTGGCTTTGTCTTTCTCCCCTTCGCCCCCAGGCTTGCTCTGTTCAATGAATAAAGGGACCCTTCCTCTTAGATGTGTCTTTAGATTTTCTGATCTCTTGAATAAAAGTAGATTGTAAATGACATATTTCCGCACCCATAATTTACAAAGATAAATTTGCAAATTATTAATTTTTTTTACATATTCCGGTTCACAACATAATCACAGATCACAAGTGGCAATTCAATTCACGATCTAAATTATCATTTCCAGTTCTCTATAAAATCCACACTTTGCAATTTACATTTCGCAAAGAATAAGGAGGAAAGAGAAATCCAGTGCTTGTGAAAATTTAAGATAATTGAGAAGTATTTTTTAAAAAATAAATAAAATAAAACAGACAAAACCAGCCTACACATTTAATTATTGAAAAATTGTAAAGATAAATATTTTTAATGTTGTTATACTTTGTTATTATCATAGTCAATTCATTATTATATTTTTTTGTATTTTGTTATTAGTAATAATTAATGTTATTGTATTTTATTTATTTTTAATTAAATTATATTATTTTAATATGACTAGTTTGATTCTAGTTTAGCCAATTAACTTTTAAATCATTACCTTAACTAGTTTTTCGCCTGGTTCGGTTTTTTAGCCTTGCTATAACTAATGTTTTAAAAGTCGGATCAGACATTGAACCGAAAAACCTAGCAGGTCATGATTCAAACGGTCGGATCGGTCGGACCGGTGACGTAATAATTAAATTAAAAATAATATTATATACTTATATAATAATATAAATATAAAAATAGATATAGAAATTATTCTATGACTTGAGAATAAAAATAAACAAACTCACATATAATAATATATATCCTAATTCTCAACTACCAACACAATAAAACTATTGAAATAAAATTGTTTTGACATTGTACCTTTGAATATGATATTATAATAGTACTATTTTTAATTTCCTTTTCAGCATAGTTTTTTTTTTTTAAAAAAAACCATTTCACTCTGTTTTTTTGGGCCAACTCTTTCACTGCAATTAATACATGTCAGATGGCTTTTTTCATCCTCACAAGCAAAGATGTCGTTTCTTTTCAGGTTTTACTTCTTCATTTTCCAACTGCGGGGCATAAAAGTGATGTCTTTTCTTTCAGTCTTTCTTTTAAATTTTTGACGGTGCAGCAAAAGGAGCAAGACCAGATGGCTTTTACTTTTTTAACCCATAAATGTCGTGGCTTTTTCTCCCCCGTATAATTCACATGCACATGTAGGGCCCACTCAAATATGTAAAACTTTTCAGTGAAAAATGTCGGTGCTTCGTTCCAATGACAATTAATGTGCCAGTTTCCTCATCATATCGGATATAATATTCCTCACAAAATTCCCTTGTTAATAATTTTTCGGGGAACTGAGAAACTGCAAGAATTTCTGGAAAAAATTTTCTCCAACTCTACTCTGGAACCAAAAGGGGGGGGGGGACCTGTTCTTTGTAGAAGCAGTAAAACCTACTTGATATCTCTAAAATTCTCTGTAATCTCAGTTTTATTAAAACCTTTTTCTTTGTGTAATGAATTTAAGGGAGTGTTTGGATAAAAACCAAACCATGGTTTCAGAAGTGCTTTTACGGATTACGAAGTAAATATGTGGAGGAGGTTACCTCGTTTCTTACACTCGGATCTCTAACTCTCAGGATTCAGACTATAAGATTACAGAAAATAATGGCGGGAACACATAACAGCCTTTAGATAGGTGATACTATCTCCACTCCTACATATGAGAACTAGTTAACTAATTTAAGTAAATTAAGAAAATAAATTACGTTAGTTATTTGTAATAAATATGTATCATCTTTCCTAAAATATCTTTGCTAATCAAATTTATTGGCTAGAACTATCATTATTAAAAAGATTATCTTAAAAAAATAAATAAATATTAGAAATAAAGTAGATTGCGGTTTTATATTTAAAACTAAAATAAAAATTAAATGAAGTATTATGTTAAATAACACAGGCAGTATAATATAACATCAATTTAAACAGTAAGGCTAATTATGTATTCCTTTATACATCTCTTTTTTTGAAACATAATGAAGAGCAAATGTAGAAGATGGGGAAAATGTATAGAATGTGTTAATTAATAATAAAATAACCCAAGCTCAAAGAAACATAAAAGATGAGCCAAGTGTGTGTGTGTGTGTGGTGTTTACGCTGTTTTAACCTTTTAAAGCAAGAGATCGATCAATCCGAAAATGTAAAACTCAATTCGAGATCCAGCTTTTTTGAAAAAGCTTCTGGAAAATAGATTCCGAGGAGAATAGATTTTTTGAAGAATAGATTGTGAAAAAGTAATTCTGAGAAGTGAGAGTGTTTGAATAGTTGTTACTAGAAGCACTTTTTACATGTACAAATTACTAAAAAAGGCATAAGTTAATATGATACTTACAGAAAAAATATATTTTATGATATATTTTAATTTGAAGGAATAAAAATTATTAATAATATATTTTTTATTAACATAATTAATAATACATAAGATAATATAATTAATAAATAATTAATATGTATATATTTATAAGATATAAGATTAAATATATTTATAAACAAATATGTTTATAAAAAAAACAACAAGATACATATCCTATAGACTCTCATACTCTCCCTTTTTTTTCAAAAGCAAAAAATTTTTATTTTTCCAAAACCATAGTTTTAGTTTTTATAAGGGTGTTTGAGAGATTTTTTCCCAAACCATGGTTTGGGTTGGAACCCAAACACGCCTGTGATGGATTTGATAGTTTTTTCTTAGTAAAATCTTGATTTCAAATATATGATCGATCATTGTACGCGTGTCCTTGGTAATTTTTCCGTATATGCTAAACTAATTATGTAAACTATTTAGGATGCTCCCTATGATTTAATTTAATAGCTTTATTAATTAACCTGTAGCTACTATATATATATATTGTAATGATAACTTCAAACCTTGCTAAGAACTGTTTTGATTTTGCATTTTTTTTTAATGATTTCTCAGAGAAAATAAATCAAAACTACACAATTTTGGACTATTTTTTTTAAAAAAATTGTTAAAAAATACAAAACCGCGCAGTTCAATCACAGTAATTATATATCAAAACATCTATAATTTTAGCTAATGATTAAAATAAAAAATAGGAGGAATTATTATTAGGTCCCAATGAAACAGGAAATGACAACACATTTAAAATGCTCACTTGCTTGGGACCTTGTAATAATTCTCCCCAAAAAAAAACTGAAAAATTGGGTTATTATAAAAGACATGGGATATCCGCTGTAATGTTTATATTTCTTTGTAAAGGAGAGGATATTTTGTCTGGATGCCATCACTGCATAGTTGTTTCTATCTGCAAAATCTGATGTTAATTAATTTCACATCACTGCTCTTGAAGTTCACACACCATGTGTTCATTGACTGTGCAAACGACCTGTCAGTTGGATAACCATAAATACGGCAATTTAAGAAGTACTGGATGAAACCAAACTATAATTTAAAAAATAGTTTTAAAAATAGTTCTAAGAAAAATAAATTTTGTGACAAATATATTTTATGAAAAATGATTCTGATCAAATGAGAGTGTTTAGATAATTGTTATCAGAAGCACTTTTTATAATGTATAAATTACTAAAAAGGGTATAAGTTAATATTATAATTATATAAATGATAGATTTTATAATATATTTTAATTTGAAAAAATAAAATTGGTAATAAAATAATTTTTACTAACATAATTAATAATATATAAGATAATATAATTAATAATTAATTAATATGTGTATATATATTTATAAATTATAAAATTAAATATGTTTATAAAAATGATTTTTTTCTAATAGAAAAATATTAATTTGCCAGGAGCAAAGGACCGAAGGGGGAAGAGAAATGAATAATTGAGAGGTATATGTGTCTGGTCAAAAAAACAAATCTCATATATGAAAGCAAACCATTTGACACTCTCCCATAATTTTCCCAAAAGCAAATTCAAAAAGCTTCTCACAAAACCATAATTTTGAAACCAAAACCATGATTACTGATTTCATATGGGTGTTTGGGTAATTTTTTCTACAAACGATAGTTTGGTTTCCCAAATTATAGTTTGGACAATCACCCAAACACCCCTTAGCCTAGAAGTATTCAGGCAGTGTTTAGGTGAAACAAGAAGCACTTTTAAAAACTGTTTTTATGTTAATCAAGACAAACTTTTTCTTATATATTTATTTTGCATATTGTGAAATTATTTTTAAAATTATAATTTTGTTTTCACCCAATCTCTTCCTTAATCCAGTGGTACCGGTAATCCAGTGGTACCAGTAATCCAGTGGTATAGGGACAAGATGTGCCCATGGTGGCTCTAGGAGCTTGTTCCGTCAGGCTCTATGCCCATCATCCAAATCCCCAAAAAAAAAACAAAAAAGGAAATAAAGAAGAAGAAATGAGGCAATTTTTGCAGTTGTGTGCTGGTGGCTATGGAAACGCCGTAACCTGGCAATTTTTGAAGGCAAACAAATTCATAACGATCTGATTATTGTCAATGCAAAAGCATAGGTGGAAAATATTAGTAACCTACGGAGCAGCCTCAGTGGGGTGAAAATCGCAGGAGCAAGGACGATCCCTCATACCAGTAAGTGGCAGAGGTCTACAGCAGGCTGGGTGAAGGTGAATGTAGATGGCGCTTATTCTCATATCACTTGTGCCAGTGCTTGTGGAGGTGTCGTCAGAAACTCGGCTGGAGAACTTCTTCGGGCGTTCATGCATCGACTTGAAGGGGGTGATGCATTATCAGCTGAGTTGTGGGCATGTTTCAATGGACTCAGACTTGCATGGGATGATGGACATCGTCAAGTGATATTAGAAACTGATGCTGCAGAAGTCATTGCACTCATTCAAAACGAGCCGAATGACAGTCACGAGGATTATAGTGTTATTAATGAAGTTCAACGCCTTCTCAGAAGAGAATGGAAGGTTTGCGTGGAGTTCTTGAACCGTGACAATAATAGAGCGGCGGACTACCTAGCAAAGAAAGCGCTGGATGCACCGATAGGATTTCAAA